CTGTACCTTGGTCCCGCATTCATTTCAAAGGAGCGCTACCCTGTAGCAAGATGGCGGCGCTATTGACGCATTCCGTCCAATAGACAACAATAGGCCAGGCGACATCTAATGTATATATCTATGCTTATTTCTCTAGATAATATCTCTTACACATAATATTATCTCAAACTACTAAATCATCAATAAAAATCACTTTGTTAAATGCAGAATTTTCAACATCAAAAGTCAAATGGGCAGAGATCAACATCCCATAATGCAATTTACAACCACAAATAAACACTTGTGAATCACAAAATACAGATCTTTTTGGCAGTGTGTAGTTTGTCACGTTCTAACCCTGCAGATGTGTGCAGTATATGCCGCCGTGGATATTAAAGGCACGTCCCACACAGTACAGTACAGAGGAGATTCTCTGCAGAGCTGCATTACGTAACACACACCAGCAGTGCCGCAGCAGAACACACTGTCTGTTATCAATGAAGGAGAAATATGAATGAACACTGGAGCCAGACTGATGGAGAGTTAAAGCTGGACCGAGCAGGATACACTGAAGACGACAGACAGAGATACAGCAGACAGTGATCTGTGAGTAACAACAATGAGGGGATGACCAAAATCAAAGAGGAGGAACAGAACAGAATGAACACATTAAGGAGAGCAGAAAGGGAATCTCTTTACTACACTGCAAACACACAATACACTGAGTTTGTGTCTTGTTTCAAGTCCAAATATCTAAAAACTCTTAAATCAAAAATGCCTTTTCTGGATAAGCAAATAAATGCTGCTTTGTTTTTAGAAGTAATTAATCAAAATTAAGTGAGTTTTACCCTTGAAACTACACTGCAAAAAGTGCTTTTATTACTTTTTTTGTCTTGTTTCTAGTCCAAATATCTAAAAATTCCTAAATCAAGAAGAATTTTCAAGACAAGCACAACATATTGTCTTGTTTTGAGAAATAATATGCTAATATTAAATGAGTTTTTCCTTAAAAAAAGCTAAATAGTCTGCCAATGGGGGAGGCAAAATAATCTTATCAAAAATTGGAAAGCAAGATTATTTTGCTGACCCCATTGGCAGATTATTTTGCTTGTTTTTAAGGAAAAACTCACTTAACATTGGCATATTATTTCTCAAAACAAGACAATACATTTTGCTTGTCTAGAAAATGCTTCTTGATATAAGAACATTTTAAATATTTAGACTAGAAACCAGACAAATGTAAGCAAGAAAAGCATTTTTTGCAGTGTAGCTATATAATCTGCCAGTGGGGTAAGCAAAATAAACTTGTTTTTCCTTTTGACATAAGATTATTCTGCTTACGCCATTGGCAGATTGTTTTGCTTGTTAAAAGAGGAAAAACTTGCTTAATTTCGATTAATCAAGACACTATTTTTTGCTTGTCTAGAAATTGCTTCTTGAGAGTTGCTTCTTTAAAAGTTTTTAGATATTTAGACTAGAAACAAGACAAAAACTCAACCCAGGCTTATTGCAGATACGTACCCCTGTATAGATTTCTGGAGAGCGCTAAATTCATTCCAGTAGGTACGTTTCTTGGCACTTTTTGTTTTCGCGAGTCCACCAGAGGCCGCTGTGTACGCTTTTACAGATCTCAAGCGGTGATGAGCCCTACGTCCCCTGCTCCTTCCCATGCTGGGAGTCGGCAGCAGACAGACTCTTTCCTCACCAAGCCCTGGCTGCCCCGACACTCTTGGCAGACAGACGGGTTTCTCCCTCACTCGGGTTCACTCTTGAACACTCACCCCTCTCAGCAGCGAGGGAGTCTGGACAACGTGTCCCTCCTTTTCCTGAGTTTTGGCACCAATTTAATGAAGTTTACCTGGCTGCCGGGAAGAAGGAGGCGTTCCGTTGCCACGGGGGCCCCACCCCCTCGCCAAACCAACCAACAGTGTTTTCAAAAACAATCCAGAAAAAGAAAAGCCCTCGCCTTTTTTTAACCACGTTTTCAGATCTTACCATGTTCTCACCCTGTTATTTACTTTTTTTTTTTCTTTTCTTTTTGTCTTCTGGAACTGTTCTTTGCTGGACTTAAACCCCATCGTCACAGTCAACTCCTCTCTGCGTACCAAGTCTGCCGACTTTTACAGCGATCGAATGGTCAAACTGGTAACATCAGAAAAGCCGTACACACAGAGGTAAACTGTCAGCTGGTAGCGTGATAAGCAACAGAAGCCGTCAGCGGTGTCATATCACACTATAGCGTTCATTTCAAAGACGAAATGCAGCCAGATGTACCTCTGGCTACATAACTCACTCTCTCCAGAAATGTATACAGGGGAACATATCCACAATGACCCTGTATTGCAACAACTCCATTTTTGCAGTGTATTTATAATAGTTCCTCCTGGAGAGCAAAGTAGCTTATTTCTAGCATCATTTTTATTTTTCATTTTGATTAAATGTGATTCAAACTGTCAAAAGCAAATTCAGAATTCAGAAGAAAAAAAAAACACATTTGTAAATATAAACTCAAGATTCATTCATTCATTCTTTCATTCAGTTTTCCTTCAACTTAGTCCCTTTATTCATCAGGGTTCACCACAGTTGAATGAACTATTCCAGCATATGTTTTACACAGAGGATGCACTTCCAGCTGCAACCCAGTACTGGGAAACACCCATACACACTCATCCACACACATGCACTATTGCCAATTTAGTTTATTCAATTCCTCTAGAGTGCATGTGTTTGGAAACCGGAGCACCCAGAGGAAACCCACACAAACACGAGGAGAACATGCAAACTCCACACAGAAATGCCAACTGACCCAGTCGGGGCTGAACCAGCGACCTTCTTGCTGTGAGACCACAGTGCTAACCACCGAGCCACCGTGCCAGGATTCAGACACAAAAAAGTCCAATTCTAAAATATAAAATCAGATTTCAGAGAATTAAAAAAATTACTACACCCAAATTAACACCCAACATGTTTATATTGTTTAAAAATAAACATTTTAGAAAGGAAAAACCAAGAGAAACAAACATATAAAATTTAATTCTTTAGTTTGTACATTTTTTGCAATAACTGGTTGAATTTAAATGTATTTTCTTTCTACTTCTAAAGCTGTTCGGTGACCAAACTCTTATTTTAATATAGTAATGTTACTGGTATTTAATAAATGCACCACAAATTATTGTCGATATTCACTGTGAAATGGATAAAAATGTTCATTTTCAAAAGGGGTGTACTCTGGGCCTATCACAGTAATCAATATATGGACTTATCACACAACACATAGACATGACCTCAATCATTTCTGGTGTTGCAACATACATCGCCTTTACATAAGAACCAATAGCAACATGTTAGCTGATTGTGCAACATCTCTATCTCTATTGGAGTTGTCAGTGTCAGTGTGGTCAAAAACACAGTGTTATTCAGCGTATTTACTATACAGATCTGCTAGCACAGGGATTCCCAAACTTTTTCATTCCAGGACCCACCTAGGCAAGTAATTCAATCTCAAGACCCACCATAATATTTTAATATGGATAAATGGATCCATTCAAAGCAGTCAAAAATATATGGTGTGCGGCTTTTTGGATTTTGCGATCTCACAAAATGAGGCTTGAACTGCTCTTTGTAGGATGCTGGCGGTAACTGTGATCATTTTTTTGTTGAAAAAGAAGAGAATATGATCAACCTTTGATCAAGCCCCGTGATTATGATCAAGCCCCGTCACATTGCAGTAAACTCCACTGCTAGTGTAGTCATAAGAAACTAAACAGCTTTTTGATTGACTACTACAAGCTGGACAAACGTCATATAAATATGCCAACCCAATTAACGTTATTGCTGAATAGATCTTATATTTAGACATTTGCTTGAGGAAGGAATGATGGGGGTAGTTACATTACTATTACTATTTTCCATAACATCTACGCCCTTCCATAACATTAGCTGACGTCAAAACAGATAGCACTATAGCTATTTATTGATTAGCAATCTGTCAACGTTGGGATGTAAAAAATATGGGACAACAAATAGCTTCAAATGATAGAATACAGAGCAAACATTAGAAAATCTTGACAATAAAATAAAAGGTTTAGCCTATTAAAACCAATGGCCTATACAGAAGTAAATAAAGCTCTTAAATCTACTTCACTTTTGATTGTATTTGCATATTGATTAAAGTTACTGTAGTTATTTAGTGAAAAGCAGCAAATGAATCTCTCATTGTGTTATGTTTGATAACAGAGGTGTTCATGTTAGAATGCACAGATCAGAGAAAATTAGTAGTGTTTAAAATAAAACACGAAGGACGGAGCAAGAAAAAAAAAAAAAAAAAGCACTTTTCCGACGGTCCCTTACTGAGAGCACCGCTCAGCGCGAGCTCTACCGGCTAAACGCAGATTGCGTGGGCTCAAACAGAGCAGTGGTCGTAATGTCGAACGAAAAAAAAGAAAAAGACATCTGTGAAACATAACCAGCTTTGTCTTTTTGTAGGAAACACACTTTAGACATTTATAGGGTAAGAGGTTTTTGAGTTATTGCCATCAATCGTACTGGTTTTGATTCACCTCAATGTAAATATAGCTGCAGCTCTGTGATGTTGCGCGACCCACCTTTGTTCACTGTGCGACCCACAGTTTGAAAACCCCTGTGCTAGCAGATATCACAGCCTCTATTCATTTTTATCTTGCACTTTTGTGTTAACATTTATTATTGTTTATTGAAGATGTCCTTCTTATTTTCACCTTCTGACCTAATTTCCAATTATTAAAATGGTTTTAATGAAATGAAATATTCTTAAAAATAAAATATGATGTGATCTTTGGAAGAGTGCACTTGTATTGTGATGATATTAAATTGTCATTTTGGCATTATATAATGATGAGTGGTTTAAAATGGCTTAAAAATGACAACAGTATTGTTTATCACGATATATTTTGATGCAATATATCGTATGACAGAAAACAGATATCATGACAGGCCTAGTGTACTCATTTATGCTGAGCACTGTAGATGTATGTTAGACTTACAACATGAAGTCCTGCTCCCAGCTTGGATCACTGCCCCGAACAGCGATGGTGGTGCTTTTCACATTCTGAACCTTTAGAGTCACGTATGTGTTGAATTTCTCTGTGGAAACAGAAAGAAAAATATACATAAATTATGACATGAATATGCAGTTACCACCTAAATATACTGTACTGTATAGGCCGGTCAAGATTATTAATTATTGTCTCATAAGTTATATTATATTATATTATATTATATTATATTATATTATATTATATTATATTATATTATATTATATTATATTATAGTTTATTATATTATATTATATTATATTATATTATAGTTTATTATATTATATTATATTATATTATATTATATTATATTATATTATATTATAGTTTATTATATTATATTATATTATATTATATTATATTATATTATATTATATTATATTATATTATATTATATTATATTATATTATATGATAGTTTATTATATTATATTTTATTATATTATATTATATTATATTATATTTTATTTTATTATATTATATTATATTATATTATATTATATTATATTATATTATATTATATTATATTATATTATATTATATTATATTATATTATGTTATAGATGAATTGGCTCTTCAGTGTTTGAACTCTCAGTAATGAATAAATCACACTGAACTGAGCTAAACTGAACTGAACTGAACTTAAACACTAAAACCTGAACCACACTGTTCCAGTTACTATGACCATTTATGTGAAGCTGCTTTGACACAATCTACATTGTAAAAGCGCTATACAAATAAAGCTGAATTGAATTGAATTGAATTGAATTGAATTATATTATATTATATTATATTATATTATATTATATTATATTATATTATATTATATTATATTATATTATATTATAGTTTATTATAGTTTATTATAGTTTATTATATTATATTATATTATATTATATTATATTATATTATATTATATTATAATATAGTTTATTATAGTTTATTATATTATATTATATTATATTATAGTTTATTATATTATATTATATTATATTATAGTTTATTATATTATAGTTTATTATATTATATTATAGTTTATTATAATATAGTTTATTATATTATATTATATTATATTATATTATATTATATTATATTATATTATATTATATTATATTATATTATAGTTTATTATATTATATTATATTATAGTTTATTATATTATATTATATTATATTATATTATATTATATTATATTATATTATATTATATTATATTATATTATATTATATAATCATTTATATATTTTTTATTTTTTTGGTTTAGTCCCTCTCTTCATCAGGGGTCACCACAGCAGAATGAACCACCAGGTTTTCCAGCATATGTTTACCGCAGCAGATGCCCTTCTAGCTGCAACCCATCACTGGGAAATCCCAGTCCATACACACTTATATACTACGGCCAATTTAGCTCATCAGTTCCCCTATAGTGCATTTGTTTGGACTGTGGGGGAATCCGGAACACCCGGAGGAAACCACACCAACACGGGGGGACACAGCCCAGCCGAGGCTCAAACCAGCGACCTTCTTGCTGTGAGGCACTACCTACTGCACCACTGCTTCGCCACATTATATTATATTATATTATATTTTATTTTATTTTATTTTATTTTATTATATTATATTATATTATATTATATTATATTATAATATATTATATTTTATTTTATTTTATTTTATTTTATTTTATTTTATTTTATTTTATTATATTATATTTTATTATATTATATTATATTATATTATATTATATTATATTATATTATATTATATTATATTTTATTTTATTATATTATATTATATTATATTATATTATATTTTATTATATTATATTATATTATATTATATTATATTTTATTATATTATATTATATCATATTTTAAATTATTACACATAAAAAGTTGTGACCTAAACAAACAGAATTACAAATTAAAAGAAAACTGAATTAAATTCTATTAAAATTATTATTATGATAGTCCTAGTACTAAAACAATAAAAAATAAACGTATTTAATCATACAAATTAATTCATAAATTAGCTCTTGAATAAAATAACATCCAACTAGACTGATCTAGAGCAGATTTTTCAACACATTTCCAATAGTTTTATTAATTCATTTGAATAACTGATTTATTTTCTCTTTGTCATGATGACAGTAAATAATATTAGACTAGATATTCTTCAAGACACTTCTATACAGCTTAAAGTGACATTTAAAGGCTTCACTAGGTTAATTAGGGTAACTAGGCAAGTTATTGAATAATGATGTAGACTATCGAAAATAAATAGCTTAAAGGGGCTATTAATTTTGACCTTAAACTGGTTCATAAAAAATAAAAACTGCTTTTATTGTAGCCGAAATAAAACAAATCAGACTTTCTCCAGAAGAAAAAATATTATCAGACATACTGTGAACATTTCCTTGCTCTGTTAAACATCATTTGGGAAATATTTAAAAAGGAAAAAAACTCTCAAAGGGGAGCGAATAATTCTGACCTTAACTGTAAATAAACAGATATAGCTAGTATCCATGTAATGTTTTATGAATACTGTGTTATATTAAATGATCAATCAATGATAAAAACTCACCCTGGGGTCCATCATACTTGGCCTTCTTCACTGCGGGAAACAAACATGAAAGCAGGAATTAATATCAGAGAAACAAACATTCATCAAACCTAAAACCTCCAAACTAAACATTCATTTATTCATTTCGCTTCAGCTTTAGTCCGAGGTCGCCACAGCGGAATGAACCGCCAACTACTCCAGCATATGTTTTACGCAGCGGATGTCCTTCCAGCCGCAACCTAGTACTGGGAAACACTCATACACACTCATTGACACACACACTCATACGCTACGGCCAATTTAGTTCATCAACTCCCCTATAGCGCATGTGTTTGGACTGTGGAGGAAACCGGAGCACCTAAGGTAAACCTACGCCAACACAGGGAGAACATGCAAACTCCACACTGAAACGCCAACTGACCCAGCTGGAACTTGAACCAACGACCGTCTTACTGTGGGATTACTGTGCTAACCACTGAGCCACCGTGACACCCGTATTCAACAACAAATAATATTAAAGTCTTCTTTCTTTAAAAGTCCACATTTTCTATTTAGCTAAGAGTCTTGAGTGACTGTGGAGAGACAGAATCTGTGCACATGTGAAAACCCATCATGGACGTAAGTGTTAAAGACAAGAAGTTTTCCATCT